AGACAGGGGGAGCTGAGAAGACCTCCTGCAAAATAAAACTAGACAAAATGAAAAGTTATGAAATTACAGGACAGAAATCTGAATCCAATACACAGAAGTTACTGACAAAACTCAAAATCTTAGAGAGCCGTAGATATTTGTACATTTATAAATTTAAGGTTTAAAGTTCATCTCTACAATATATCAACAGTTAATTCACTTTTAACAACCTGGTTATAACCTGGTAATAAATGTTTTATAACTGTTGTCAAGGCTCATAGTTATGACTCCTGACTATGATAACTTTTTCAGAGTCTGTTATTGATGCTGGGAACCTCAGGCTGACTTGTCTGATTTTAATGCCACATTCTGACAGGATTGTGGTCCGAAAGTGTTGTTGGGATTTTTTTATTTTTTTTTTCCATTGAGTTTTCCCTTTTGTCATCCATTGACGTGTCAGTGTGGTGATGGCGCATGTGGTGCCATGTGGGCCTGCGGGTCATGTGATGCGATCAGAGCTACTGTGAAGCCAGGAGGATTCCCTGACCAGATTCATCCCTACAGGAATAACACAGAGGAAGCAACAAGGACACAATAATGGCCAAAGTCACTCTTTACTAAAAGTATTTTTGGAAAATAAATAAATAAATAAGAACTATCTCAACATTTTGGCCCAAAACATGATTTTAGGTTAAAAACAAAAAACAAACAGTAAACTTTGTATTTGAGGTTTGCTGTAACAGTGAGTCAGAGTTAAGACAGGGACATCACCGTAATCCTCCTTTGTGGTTTTTAATGTGATTTTCAGGATGGACCACCATGACTGGCAGCGAGGAAGAAGTAGAGGCCACAGGCACTATGATGATGATGATGGTGAGACAGGATGAAGCTGTGGGGCCGGTGTCCAGCTCCTGATACAGGAAGGTCACCGGCTGTAACTTTGTTTCTTCAGCTGTTACAGAACACACTGTTGCTTTTTGATAGCGATTCAAGTTTTGGTTGAATTTCTTTATTTGAGCTGGAGCGGGCTGGAAAACACAGACACTCAGACGAACACAAAAACACCAAAATGTATTTATAGCTGCATATAATTGTGAAATTGGACATTTCAAAAATAAATTTGCTAATGGGACACGCGGTAATTTTGACAAACAAAAAATCGTTTTCCTGTAAAACGTTTTGGTGTTAGGATGCGGCGTGTTTTATTAGCCGCATAAAAATTGGTTTATTTTGTTAAACTGCAAAAGAAAACACTTTTATCGCATCACAGGAGTCACATGATTCATAACCTGGTGTTGCCACTGGCGCAAACCACCAAAAAAAAAAAAAAAAGAAAACGACAGGAAGTTGGAGGATGATGGCGCAGCATGTTTTTTTATGACTTATCATGTGAACAAACTTATTCATGACTGATTTTAAACACATATTAACAGTTTATGTGATATTTGTAATGGAAGCAACTACTGAGGCGTTACCCTAAATATCATGTGTGCATCAATGTGTTTCTGCAGAGGCGCTCTGCACGGTGCCAGGAACTCTTTGCTTGACATTTTGCAAAACCTAATGACTAATGTGGAACTCTGTTGGACAGAATTTGGGCAGCTGCCTAAACTTTCCCATTTAGATCAATCAGTCGACCAATCAGTGTCACGCAATGACTTTTTCTGGGCAGCCTTAAAATAGGCAACAACTAAAGCAATATGTTTCAGACCTACATTTACAAGTTGCAGATGTTATGACAACACATTTGTTGCGACATAATTTAAATAAACAACATTCAGCAATATTTTCTTCAGGACAGCCACAGAATGTCGCTCCATCATGGGGTTAAATAGATTAAAGCTGCTGTAGGAACCCAATGAAAATATGTTTACGTATTTGTAGAAATTGTCACTGTGTCCTGACAGTATAATACACAACAAGTAATCAGTGAACAAAAATCAAGTTCCTCTTAATTTTTGTATGGCAGTACTGCCATACTACATATGGCAGTAGTAATCCTGCTGCCATCTGCAGAAACACACAATGACAATCGGAGCCAATTCTGCCTAAAACATGCATTTTCCCTGTTTTGAAGACATATCTGACTTGAAACTTACAGCTACTGTCTTGAAAAACCTATCTCCTGCTCCAGCTGACAATATATTCATGCAGTTTGCTACAATGCAAAGCTAATATTAGCATGTTAACTCTTAAGTTTTGTGACTTGTTGAAATTTTGGCTTGTAAGGCTCGTCAAGACAAAACTTGGTGAAAATGAAAATGAAAAATCGACTTTTTTGAGCTTCACATAATACTATAATGTTATTCCCTAATCAAAAACACACGTGGAGTTTTGCCTTGATTCATTCCTGCATGATTGAGAAATCTCGTAATCTCCTGTGGCAACCATTCTGGGTTCAGATATGAGTGGTGGACAAAGCTCCACTCCTTCAGACTAGCCATTAGCAATTAGCAAACTACTTCTCAGCGAAGCGCGTAACAAAACATTGCTAAACGTTGTGATGTTGTGCTGAAGTCGGCGTGTCAGAAAGAGCAGGAACTTCTTAGCGATATCTTAAGTCATGTTTGACATATAAAGCATGAAGGTAACATAGTTACGTGTTTGTGCTATAAAATGGCTCTATGTGTCTGGAACTTGCATGGCAGGTCACAGTGAAAGCAAACATACTGGGAGTAAAGCATCGGCTCACAGATTCCGTCTGTTCCCTTACAGAAGCCCAGCCGTTCTACATCGGCGTTCCCGTTTCCCACCGACGGAAAAGACGCAGGCACCGTTCCAACACCGCCGACGCTGACCGCGACTCACGACACCTGCACTACGATCCCCACGCGCACCATGAACACTCACACAGACAGTATTACCACGACAAGGAGGAGAGCTACAATGATGACGGAGGCAGCACAGGGCAGCAGGAGCACCTCGACCCCACAGGTCAGTCACCACAGATCCTAAATGTTTCATTACACATTCCAATGTAACGTCGTGTTCTGGTGGCAAAAAGCAATGAAAGATGCAAAGACAAATCTCCTGAGATGAGACATTTTACCCCTGGAATCATATAGAAAAGTAGAGAATTATATTTATACACTGTGCTTATAATTTCAGCTGTCTAAATAATTGGAGTCAGCAGTAGACAGTATGAAGCAGACGTATTCTGTTCTGAAAACCTGAGCTGTGTCCAAATCTTCTCACTAGTTCAATTTCAATTACAAATGTTTGCAAAATGTTGCTGATATTCTGCTAATGTGAAAAAAACAACACAATTTTTCAATTATGGTGTTTTCATTAAATAAGAAACTCAATTAAAATCAAATGTTAATGAGTTTGTTTACCTGACAGGTCATTAAAAAAACACATCGTCCTCCTTCCACTTCCTGTAATCTGCTCTTTTCTGCCAGTCAGTAGCAACATCTGGTGTCTTATCGTGTGACTCATGTGATGTGACAAAGTGCAACTTTATTTGTGAAATACACTAACTTTGATATCACCAAAAAAACAAAACAAAAAAACACCTCATCCTAATGCAAAAGCCTTTTATTTAATAAAAAACAAACATGTTTTTTAATTTAAAAAATGGATTTTTCTACCAGGCAAATTTATTTTTATAATTCCAGTTTGCGCTATCACATGGTCAATGGAAACGTAGCTGATGTTCACTATTTCATGCGGTCGAGTAAAGTAAGAGAGCTGTGCCAGCTTTGTTCTGGAAATATGAATAAAATCCAAGAGCTTTGTCAAAAGCTTTTAGAACTCTAATCAAACATGAGCTTCATCTCCTCCTGGGTTACCGTAGATCTCTGGGCTGCTGCTCTAATCATAACAATGTGGAGTTTTATTATTCTTATTTTGTTGTCTCACAGTGGGTTGATCAGGCCTCCATGAGGTGTTCAGAGCATGAGGTGATGCTTCCTGGGCCTATTTTACTACAAAGTGCAAAAAGAAGTAATGTAGGGCTGTTGAAAAGAATATTTCAGTAGTTGAGTGCTCTAGAGAGTATTTTTACAATTTTCCGAGTAATCGGATCTCTCTTTCTCTCTCGCTCCCTTTCTCTTTCTCTCCTTCTCTCTCTCCATTCCTACTGTTCGCTCCAAAACCGTGACAACACAATTCCGATGCCACAAGGTCGTCCAACCAAAATTCAACAATCCTTATTTCTCCCCCAAACTCTGACAAACGGCGTACAACTCAACAGCATGCTGCTAGCACTTCACAGCTAGTCTAGAGTTAAAGAAACTCAGTATTTCAGTATTTTTTGCAGTTTTCTGGAAGTTTGTTCCTCATTCATGGTGCATCGAAGCTGAATGTTGCTTTTCCTCATTTGGTTCTGGTTCTGGATGCAGAGCAGAACCAGAACCAGCAGACCTGGGAGGTCTGCAAGGTTGATACAACAGCAGCAGATCTTTAAGAAGTTCAGTGATTTATCAACTGACAAAAGAATATTAAAGTCTGTTCGCTGAGCTCCAGGGAGCCAGAGGAAGAACCTGGGAAAATGTGTTAATACTTTTAGAAGTATTCACACAGCGTTGCCAGATCTGGACCAGCGTAGAGTGGTTCATCACTGTATCATTACGCCACACTTACTTTTTTTCCAAAATGGAGTGAAATAGTCAATCTGCTTAATTTCAGAAAGACTTCATTTCTTTTTCATTTTGCTTATTTCGAGTGTTAAGAACGATCAAAATCAACCATCAAACCTTCCTGCTGCCTGTTCACACCATAGCAACAGGCACATGACCTGGTCTGACGTGGAGCACGTTTATGTTTTCCAGCAAGAGGCCATAAAGTCTGGAGGCTGTAAGCTGATTAGAGCTGAGGAACTCCAAGCTGAGTGTGTGTGTGTGTGTGTGTGTGTGTGTGTGTGTGTGTGTGTGTGTGTGTGTGTGTGTGTGTGTGTGTGTGTGTGTGTGTGTGTGTGTGTGCGTGTGTGTGTGTGTGTGTGTGTGTGTGTGTGTGTGTGTGTGTGTGTGTGTGTGTGCGTGTGTGTGGGAGTACAGTACGTGTTTGTACCTTGAAGCTGAAGTTACTGTGAGTGCTTATGAGTGACCTGCTTTGCAACTTTTTAAAATATTTTTCACCTGTTAGAGATAAGTACCAAATGTGCGCATCATTGAAGGGGTGCTGTGTGTGTCTGCACATGGCTCATGTACAAGTTACATTGATGAAGTTTGTGTTTTTGAGACATGTGAGCACACGAGTCAGTGCATGGGAGGAGAGTCCTCCAGAGCCCTGTGGTGTGTGTCGACCCTCTTCAAAGCCTCTTGCTGCTTGTTGCTTTGGAGACTTTTTGTTGCTTTCCTGATCGCCTGAAAGGCGGAGCAGCCGCACCACAAACTATTTGTCGCTGGCTGATACCGCGAAGCTGGAAGTAATCCCTGAGGAGGACGACGTGAAGGGACGTACGTGAAAGTGAGTCACTTCGAGCCGCTCAATGAGACTTGAGCCGAAGACTCTGTCTTACCAGGCAGACAGGAAGATAAAGACACATCTGTCCTGAATCAGACCCGGTGGACGTCTCTCTGCAATCGGATCTTATTTGGATCCAGTGAGCATCAAATATGACCTCTCACCTGACCTTACCAGGCTCCACATCAGGTAAAGACTCCGGTAAAAAGAACATAAACCAGTAGCCGCGTTTCTTTACAAATGGGCACAAAGTCTTTGTAGCTATTCTGCTGGTGTTGAAAAAACAAAATGTTGTTATTTCGTTGCTTCTATTGAATGAGAAATGAAATTGAGATCACATGAGAACAAGTATGTTCATGCAGTACATAGTTAACAGTTATGGCAGCAAAAGATTTAAACATTTATGTAAAAAAAATTCATAATTCAATTATGGTGCGAGTGCTCATCATCTGTCAGCCAATCAGAGGAGTCTGATCCCAGTGTCTCATTCAGGTGTCAGAGAGACAAGCCCCGCCTACTTGGGAGCTGCTACTTATGTGGCATCTTGAAAGAATTGCAGCTTGTGATTTTGCAGAAGAGCTGTGGATTCAACACGGTGGAATGTCACAGCTTTTTATGAACTGCGATGGTGTCATCCTGATACTGCTTCCTGTCTTCTTCTTTGTTGTCTTTGCCAGCAGTAACATCCAGTTGTTGATCACGTGACTCATGTGATGAGAAAAAAGTGTTTCCTGGCAGTTTTGCGAAATTTATCTATTTTGATACAAATGAAAAAAACCCACCACATCGCAGCACAAAAACTTTTTAATCAAAGAACTTTTTCTTTTCGACATCATTTTTGTAATTTCAGTTTGTGCAATTCTATGTTTAATGGAAACGCTGCGAGTGAGAGAGAAAGGTTGCAAGTCTTTGGACTTATAATGTCAAAAGTATAATGTACAGACGTTTGTCCTGACTGTGAGTTCAGAAAGCCATTTGCTTAAATTGCTGTCAGCTTGTGACACTCAGACTTTAGCACCGACAGTTAGGACTAGAAACATTTTTTGTTCTAAGACAACATCACAGCTTGTCAGTCATAATCCCAGTATGAAAACTAAAACCCACTGCTTATGCTTCATGGAAAAACTGTCATGTCACCAAGATCAATAGATCAGAATGAGCTCATTACCTTGGAAAGCCAGTGCTATTCAATACAGCCTGTTGCCACATCACTGTAGCTGCTGTAAGTTAGCTTGAGCTGATTTTTTTAGGCCTCATGATAATTTCAGATGGACAGATTTGAGTTAAGGTGAGTGAGCGCTGCAGCTCCGTTTAAGCAGAAAATGCACGTGGGGTTCTGCGCAGAACGGCACGCAGACTGACGTTGCTAAAAGACGCAAAAATTCAGCACCTGTCAGGGTGAAGGACGCATCAGTGTGTCTCGGTTCATTTTGGCAAGTGATTGATGGAAAAGTGTTAGCTGTAGTTTTGGTAATAATAAAGCATAAGATGTCCATATTGGGAATGTTTTGTACAGAAACAGAGAATCTTGTTGCTTAAGCTCCAGTATTTTATAGTCTCAGGTCATGACTTCACCATGATTTATTTTTATGCAAACACACCACACATAGAAATGCCATTTGCTTAACAAGACAGATATGGATCCAGATTTTCTTTTGGGGTAGTGTCAATTAGAACTTCATTTTATTTTTCAAAGTTTGCACACATTGATCCTCAGTACTTCAGTAAATCGGTTTGTAAGTTTCCAAACACCTAAAGGTTTGAAAGGAAACGCTTATTTGAGAAAGTTAGCATGAGATTCTGGATTAACTTAAGACTTCAACAGATTTCTACGCAGAGGCTAAGTGTATTTGTCACTAGAGATCTGAGTCACTGTTAAATGTAGAAGTAGAGCGCGTAACTCGAGATGCAAAAAGTGTTTCCTCTGTGGTTTCCACAGAGCCATGAAACCACCTCATCCTCGCACAGAAATCCTTTTATCAGAAAATGCAGGGTTTTTTTCAAAATCACCATGATTTTATTAAGCAAATTTAAGTTTTTGATTTGTGTCATCTGAAGGCCAATGGAAACACAACCACTGTTCCTCATGAACAGAATAACTCAAACAACGGCTCTGTTAGTGAAGGAAGACGGCAGATCGGATGAGCGCCACGTATCGCTGTATTGTTGTTTTATATTCATAACAATTTTAATCATACAAAACCTTTCCGTAACAAATATTTGCTTAAGAATTTACTGTCATGGTCTAAAATAGTCCCGCTATAGGCTTTTAGTCATGCTTGTGGTAAAATTGATGCCCCCAATGAAACCTATCATCATTTGATCAAGTGGTTACATGGTATTGATCAACCTGCTGAGACAGAAGGTGCCGACTGTGTTTTTCCTTTATTAGAACTGATAGCTTATTTCTGCAGTGAGGGCAATAAAAATTGATGTCCTTTTTCCACTGGTCAGAAAAAAAAGGACCCAAAACTTTGCAAAAACAACCCATGCCATCGTTCCCACCTCTTCTTCCTGAGGGATTACACTGGCTGCTCAGAGTTCAGCCATCAACAGGTACCCAGACTCTGAGCTCTATCTGAAACAGTGATTATTCTTTGCGATGTTGTTTTGAACTAAATGCTGCGAAATACTAAATACTGCAGTAGTTGCACACAACATAAACCCTTTGTAAATAATAATAAAAAAATGAATTCATTTGTTTCACCATTTGTCATCAGTAACTTCCTTTAAGAGGAACAAACTGATGATCATGGACGTTGTGTCCTCTGGCGTGTGCGTGAACGGCAGCCTCCTGGCTCAGGATGCTAATGGAGATTGATCCGTCTAAAATCAAATTCCAAAGAGGTGTTGGCCGATGGATCCACATGGTCACCACATAATCAGTGCAGGCACTATAGTTTGTTTGGTAAGAAAGAATAATGTGTTTCAAAGGGTCAGTATAATGTAAAATGAACGTTTCTGAGCTTTACATGATGTCATTTTTGTCTCCATGTCAATGAGAACCAATTGTAGCACTTTGGATGAAGTATGTGACAGTCTTTAGTCAAGTGGTCTGAACTCCTTATTGGAAAGCTGAGAAATTATCTAAATTAAAATTGTAATTGATCAAATGAGCTGATTTACCAACATTATGCAATAATCACCGTCCACCATTTAGGTTTGGATGAACTTTGCACTGAATCTGTCAGGACTGCAAATAAAATCTGAGACTGATTGTGTGTATCTATAGTTTCTCCAGCTGCAGAGCGTCTTCGCCACATCCTGGGTGAGGATGACGCCGTCCCAACACCAACCATCTTCACTGAGATGGACACTCTGCAACACGATGGAGAAGAGCTGGAATGGAAAGAGTCTGCCAGGTACGTTTACCACAAAATCACAAGTACCAGGAAATTACCAAGGTGGTTGTTGCTTTAGGATTCCAGGTTGCCTTTTATAGGGTCTACAGGTTCCACTTGCTTCCTCGAGGCCGGTGAGGAAAAGCAATCCAACTATTCGTGTGACTAAAGCAAAGGGAAAATCAGCCTTGCTAATTGAAACACTGATTGCTCACCTGTGGCTAGAAATATCCGTCTCTCTCTTGGGAGAGAAAAACTTGAACGTTATTTGCTGAGTTGAGCCGGTCCTCTTCAGGTGGGTGAAGTTTGAGGAGAAGGTGGAGGAGGGCGGAGAAAGATGGAGCAAGCCTCACGTCTCCACGCTGACCCTCCATAGTCTGTTTGAGCTCCGGACCTGCCTGCAGACGGGAAGCATTCTGCTGGACCTGGAGGGCTACTCACTGCCTCAGATAGTGGGTGAGTCTCACAAGACATGTCGTTTAAAGTGTTTTTATGACCTTACCAGAGGTGGGTAGGGTCCTACTTTAGAATATTTTCAGTCAAATAAAAAGTAAACAGTCGTCCAAGAAATTGCTCAAGTGAGAGTAAAAAAGTATTTGGTTAAAAAAATATATATATAAATAAAAATCTACTCAAGTGCTGAGTAACTGATCAAATCATCAATCATTTAATATTTTAAAATGAGATGGACCAAAATCTGAAGTTTAGAGGGAATTTGGGTATTTTAAGGGTCGAAACCCTTAAAAGTCTTTTTTTTTCTTTTTTCAGAAGAGTTTCTCATGTAAATGTAGCCGAGTAAATGAAGCTAGTTTATATCCATCTTTGACTGCTGTCAGAAAGCTGAATCTCATGACATGGCTCTTAAAACAACAAATATTGCAGATATTAAAATTCAATATATTGTGATGGTATTTTACAGAAAAGACTCAGAAGTGCATTTGCATTTCCAGAACAATTGGGACAGACAATAAGTGCTGTTTGCACTCACTGGTACAAATGGTAGAAGTTGTTGTTGATGTTTAATGATTGGACAAAAAGTTCAACCCATTGCCAGTATTTGGATTTACCTTAGATTTAAGAGTCTGTGGAATAAAAACTCCAAATATTCTCATAAGGAGATGGTGAGATCATGTTCTCTTGGGGAAATATTGCTCAATAATCTGAATACTAAATGTATGAACATTTCGCCTCAGAGGAGATTGTGGATCGCCAAATAGCCGACGGTCTCGTTCCTCCGGATCTGAAGGAGAAGATCATCTTCGTGTTGCTCAGAAAGCATCGTCACCAGACCAAGAAACCAATCCATCGCTCACTGGCAGACATTGGAAAGTCCTCCAACCCCCCCTCCAGTAAGCTTTTACATTTTCCCTGACAAAGCAACAAAGAGAGTCTAGAAGTTCTTGATCATTTCCAATCATATTGCTCCCTTGTTTTCTGCCATCATGATGATCACCAGTTGCCCCGCTCTCCTTGTGAAATCAGCTCTTCTCTGTTCATTATTTTCATATCTGCTGCTGGTCTGTCAGACCGCAGTCCTCAGGTTAATCTGACTCGTAGTACCAGCTCAGCTTCCGGGATCCATCGCTCCACCGAAGACCTACGCTCTCGGCAGTCAAGCAGCCTTGGCGGCCTGCGTGAGTCTCAACCACACACACACACACACACACACCACCCACACACACACACACACACACACACACACACACACACACACACAAAACACACAAACAATAACAAACAGCTATGTCACAAAAGAAATTTAATAATAACAGCTATCTGAACCCTGGTGTGTTTATTAAGTGGAGTTAGTGGTGCTGTTTTAAACAGCATTGCTATAGAGACCTGGAATATCAAACAATTAACAGCTCACCCATTCGTGCAGTGGTTTGGTGTGGAGTGCTGCAGAAAATACTCTATTGTCATGGCACTTCATATGTAAAAAAAACTGATTATTTTATGAAAGTTATACATTGCAGCTTTAACTAAGGTCAAGTTTGTTTGGATAGCGTATTTCAGCAACAAAGCAGTTGAGCTAAATGAACTTCTGATTGCAAGCATAATATTGCACTGAAAATAGAAATTCCAACTTTCAGCTTGTCTGTATTTATTCAATGAAGGGAAAACAAACATTTGGGGAAAATGATTTCAACAATATCAGTGATGGAACTATTCCTGGGTCCAGTGTTGACCGTTCAGCCAAGAGAACAGCAGAGGCTTTTCCTGGCAATGCCTGAGAATCAGTAGATTGCTGTGTAGATGGAGTCTAACTGGAGGGACGGTGACGCGATGCCACACTTTGCTGCTGTTCTTCAGCAGAGATCCCTTATTATTATTGTCCTGCCCACTGAGCATGCTGGGATGCATATATATCCCCCGAGTAACTCCTGTAACATTTCTGCTAATAGGGAAATGAAAGTCGTGGGTTTCAAATTCAAAGTTCATAGAAACTCTAAAAAATAAAGTTTCATTGGATTAAGTTTACATTTTACTGTGAAAGAATAGTCATTTTTGAGTTATTTTACAAACCTGTACTCAAATAAAAGGCTGAATTTTTTCCCCAAGTATTCAAGGTGAGATTATGTTAATGCAATAACACACACACTGTATTTCTTCGCAATCTTTTAAACCTCTCAGTTTCTTAAGTTGAATGTATTATTTTTTTATTTGATTGACAACGTTTTCCACAAATTCCACCTCTGGCTACTGCATGACTGCGGCGCTTAATGCTTTCTGTTGATCCGTGTGTGCTTCAAATAATTTACGGTGCATCCGGAAAGTGTTCACATCGCTACACTTTTTACCACAGTTTACGTTTCAGACTTCACGTTGCAGGAATCAGAATTTGTGCAAGTATTCACAGCCTTTGCTTGATACTTTGTTGATCTGCTTTGTTGAGAACCTTGGTGGATTACCTGTACCTTGATGTAATGACTCTGCAAGTTTCAATATATAACATGAACAATTGTTGATCCTGTTAACACAATTTGAACATCTCTGTGATACTACAATAAGTGTGCTGTTTCTCTACAGATCCTGCCCAGAGCCGAAGCATGAATGATATTTCAGACACACCGAGTACCGACCAGGTGAATGTTGCTTTACTGGACTTTGTCTAACAGGAGCTTTTTACTCTGTGGGTGTTTTCATGCTGTATAGTCCGGTAGACTCGGTTCGATTGGGGACCAGAATTGCAACATTTGTTGCATTTTCAGCTGCTGTGGTTCTATTTCACACTGCAGAGTCAAACCAATCAAACGCTTTGAAATATGTATTCATCCTCCTCGCCTGTGGGGGCGCTGCACCAAGAACAAGAGATTCACCAAATGAACCTTTATAGGTAAATTAACTGATTAAAACTGACAAAAACCAAATTAAAATAGAGTTGGTGCTCTGCTAGAAAAGCTCTGACTTTTTCAGAACATATAAAGAAACAGCTGAATTTTAAAACATCCTAAGCAGATTATAAAATGTGCCGTTCTCTCACAAAGCAGCTGTACATTCAAAATTCAAACAATTTGCAGACCATTGAAACTCCTCAATCATCGGTTCTTTTCTCACGATAAAGATTTGAGACCCTGATGTGACCATGAACTGTAGCTTCAAATAACTGCTACTTCCATCAGTTTATAATACGTGGCAAAAAAAACAAACAACAAAAAACATCGGCAGTTCTTTGAGGATTTACAAAGTTCACAAGTATTGCTTGTTACATAAGCAGCAGAAATCATGTGGTGTTTGGGGAAATATGTGGACACACACTTCAAAGCCAGCAATAACGAAACATTCACATGTGACTGACTGAGAGGAGGTAAGCTGGCTTTGTACCTCCAAGTTTTCTTTGTTCTTGATAGTTTGCATGATTATGGGATACAGTAGCGGACATGCTGTCAAATATTTGCAACAAGATTTCCTGCCGTTGCAAATAAATATCCAAAAGAATAAATGCAGATAGCAGAAGAAAAAAATAACAACTATGGCCAAGTGTTTGTGTGCGTGTGTGTGTGTGTGTGTGTGTGTGTGTGTGTGTGTGTGTGTGTGTGTGTGTGTGTGTGTGTGTGTGTGTGTGTGTGATGTACTGTTTGTTTAGGACCAAAATGCAAAGGCAGGCGGTGAAAGAGGAGCAGCTGGTGTATTGACTCTGAAAGCAGCATTAACAGATTATGAAGAGATTTTGATTTAAGCGCCCACCGCTCCACTGCCACGTGCTTTTTGGCAGAAAACAACAAAGCTATAACACAAAGTTACAGAATTGTTTATTTTATTTTACTGTATCTAAACAGTTGCAATTGTGAAATAACAAAACGGCTTAGTTGGAATATAGAGGCATAAAGCCCATTTAGTAACGCAAAAACAAGAATAATGATCACCTGAGCAGCTGGCTGTGTACTTCTGTATTGCTACTAATGAGAGTAATTACTTCTCAGTGATCAAAAATGTGTTCTAGTGTTAGATGAACTAACTAGTACATCTTCAACAATTACAATATTGTGTATTTTATTGGATAAAAGTGCAAATTGTTGCCATTTATGTTAGAAAGTGAAGCAGTCATAAAAATATATTAGATTTACTTTCAAAAATGTTTATGTTGATGGGTGTCTGGAAAAGAAAACCCAAAATTCAGTGGCTCAGATAATGATAATTTCACATTAGACCAAATATTTAATTGCAAATATCAAGTTTTTCAATGTATGTTTATTTCTATGTCCTCAAAACTTGATTGGAGCTTCTTTTGCATAAATTACTGCATCAATGCACTGTGGCATGGAGGAGATCAGCCTGTGTCACTGCATATGTGTAATGGAAGCCCATGTTGCTTTGATAGCTGCCTTCAGTTCAGTTTAGAGGCTCAGGAAACTTTAGCAGGTGTTTTGAGTTAATTACCATAACTAACACCATGAGTTTCCAGTAATGATCTGTTTCACAGTATTTTCATTTTCTGAGACACTGAATTTAGTTTTTTATTAACTGTGAGCTGTAATCATCAGAACTACGAGACACAAAGGCTTGGAAAACTTAATGCTACTTGTGATAATTCTGAATGAAACAAGAGTTTCACTTTTTCAAACGACTGGCAAGAAAAACTGCACTTTTATTTCAAATTTCTTGAGAGAAACCCCTCCCCACCACCACATCACTCTTTTGAGACCTTGCCTCCCTTCTTCCAGCTGAAGAATAAGTTCATGAAGAAGATTCCTCGCGATGCAGAAGCTTCCAACGTGCTGATCGGTGAGGTGGACTTTCTGGACAAGCCGTTTGTCTCCTTTGTCCGCCTGGCTCAAGCCACCACTCTGGGAGGCCTCACTGAGGTTCCTGTGCCAACCAGGTAGGATCTTCCCTCCCTCATTGCTCTGACAAATGTTCTGGGTTTATCAGCCACTCTGTTCTTCAGGTTCCTCTTCATCCTGCTGGGCCCTCAAAGCAAAACTAAGTCCTACAATGAAATCGGCCGAGCCATCGCGACTCTGATGGTGGACGATGTAAGAAGCTAAGCTCAGTCAGATGTTTCTAGTAAAAGCATTTGATCATTGGTGTGACTGCAGCCTCTTGTTGCGATCAGCTGTTCAGTGATGTCGCCTACAAAGCGCGGGACCGTGATGACCTGATTGCAGGAGTTGATGAGTTCCTGGATGAGGTGATTGTCCTCCCCCCAGGGGAATGGGACCCCAAAATACGCATTGAACCTCCAAAGAAGGTTCCATCAGCAGAAATGAGGTAAGTCCTGGGAAGATTGTTTCTATAACAATATGATGTTCGTGTGAGGATAGCACCTGTTTCAGCTGCTGCAGATATTAAGACCTTTGACTCGATTCCTCTGGTCTGGAGTGGGACTGTCAAGTTCATTTACATTTTGGGTCGAATCAACATCAGGGAGGTTCTTAAAATGGATGGTTGTTGATTTAAAACTCATTAACAAACTGTTAAAATATGAATGAATAGCAGTGTTTGAATTGTATAAGTACTTCTTAAAGTTAAGTAATATTGAAAATCTTTTCCCATTTATCAATCCCTTTCAGGGTTTCATGACAGTTTTTGTTTCACTGGTTTTGTGGATCAAATTTAAAAATATTTGCATGAGATTTTACAATATTTGCAATAGATGACTGTAAATGGGACTTTTTAATGAGCATGTTCAGACTGTAACGTGGAAGGAAATCTCAAGCAGCTGCTTGAGATTGAGAAGTAAGAAATACTGCCACCTGCAGGTGGAAGTTGTAAATAAACAAAAACTGTGATAAACTCATGATTATTCATTAGTGCAAAACAGTTTCAGGATTCTGCTGATTTTCAATTAATTTACACAAGAAATGGAGACATTGATTAATGTAAGTTGGCAGGAAACAGATAAAAATGCCCTGATTTGATTGATAAAATTATATTTAAGTGTAAAATTGTTATATTGAAGGTTCTATTTATGCATATAGAAAGTCAGGCTGGACTTGGCCCTGGGTCTTGAGTATGACAACCTAGACTCCATGGTTTTTAGATACCGTAACTTTTGAATATTTTGTTGTATAAAGTAGGTCATGATAATTTTATACAGTATAATTCACTTACAGCATGTATCATTATAGTTTTACAGTTGTAATGTAGATGTCTGATAATGGCTTAGAAGCTATTGTGGTGAATAAGACCAAATTGTGCTGACTACTTGTGTTTACAGGAAGTCCGTGCTCAACCTGAACGAGCTGGGCCAGATGAACGGCTCGGCTGGTGGAGCCGCTGGTGGGGAAGACGATGAACTTCCTGTTCAGCATGAAGTGGGAGAAGAGCTGAAGTTCACTGGGAGGTCAGCAGGAAACTTTAAAAGGAATGTCTGCGACAAATTGTCACAGACAGACTGTAGGATATTCTAAACACAGAGCGTGCATGTGGGTTTAAGCATGCAACAATATCTGCTGGAAAAACATGCAGCGCCATCGTCCGACTACTTCCGGTCATCGTCTTCTTTGTGGTTTGCACCAGCCGCAATGTCTGGTTGTTGATCATGTGACTTGTGTGACGGGAAAAAAAAGTGGTTCTATCGCAGTTTGCAAGATAAACCAATTTCAATACAGTCAAAAACCCATTTCATCCCAGCACCAAAACGTTTTAGAGACAAATGAGAGTATTTGTTAAATTGGCTTGTTTTCATCAAGCAAATGTATTTTTGAAATGTCAACTTGTGCAATTATAAAATGCAGCAAGTGTCTCTGGGAGGTATTTACATAAGTTTTTATAGATTGTGCTTTACACTGAGCTCCAACGTGGTCATTTATTTCTGTGGCAGGAACTGGGTGACTATAGTCTGTATTGAGAGGAAAATAAACAGATTATTTGAGAGAAACTGCCCTGGACACTATACTAAGGCAATAATTCATCTTCCAACGTGACAACAAACCAAGATTGATTGATTGGTTGGTTGGTTGAACTTGTGTTGAACTGGGTCCTGTACGTTGTTTTCCAGATTTTGCGGTGGCCTGTGGCTGGACATCAAAAGAAAGATCCCCTTTTACTGTAGCGATATCTACGATGGCTTCCATATCCAATCCATCTCTGCAGTGCTCTTCATCTACCTGGGCTGCATTACCAACGCAATCACCTTCGGTGGACTGCTGGGAGACGCTACGGACAATTACCAGGTCTCAGTAAACATGAGTAATGTCTACTTAATTTTGAAAATAGCAGAGCAGTAGATTTCACTGACTAGCATACGTTTGACGAACTGCCCGTCCTCCTGGTCTTGTTCTTTCAGGGAGTGATGGAGAGTTTTCTTGGCACTGCTCTGGCAGGAACCGTCTTCTGTTTGTTCGGCGGACAGCCTCTCATCATCCTCAGTTCAACCGGACCCATTCTCATCTTTGAAAAACTGCTTTATGAGTTCAGCAAGTGAGACAGACAGAAAATAATATTTCGGTTGCTTTATTGAGTTTATTCGTTCAAAATGTTCTCTTGAGACTATATAGAAACTGAAGGGAATACTGTAACAGAATAAGGTAGTGACTAAGCACAACGGGAGTCTGTCAGTAGTTTTAGCATGCCAATTTGTATTTATTTATTTATTGGATTATCAAGTTTATTCATTTTGATTAGTTTGTTCTTAACATAATAATGCAAAGTCCAGTTATTGACATTTTTGACATTATTCATTATTATTCATCTTTTCCTATTTGCAACCCTTTTTCTTTTTAAAAGAAATTAAAAGAAAGAAAAACTCCACATAATAATTTAACCAAAAATTGGTAAAAGTACATAAACATATCTAACCTTAGGGGGGTCCAAATAATTATTTTCTTACAATATACAACCTTATTGGATTAAAAATAGTCTGTCGACTGAATTTAAATAAAATTCTAAAGACAGACCAAAAAAAAAACACCCTGCCATTTTTACTTTTTGCCAACAAGTTAACATTTTTTGATGTCTGGAAAATGAGCTGTTTCAAAATCATTCTGAATATAACATCACAAATGAGCAGGCAGTGACCCTCACCCGACAACCCCAACCCATCCCCGTTACCTAGCAACCCAATCTGAGCTCCAATCTATTCGCTCGGCTGGTTTTACTGTTGTCTCAACGTTTACAGCTGCAATGTGGCTGCTGGAAAAGACAAGTGTTTCAATGACTTACCTCCTGCACAACCAACAAGACTTGCTGCAGTCTTGCTGGTTGTGCATGAGGCTCCACTTTCGCTTTTCAAAGATGTGAAGTTGCATAATTGCACATCTGCCATTTAAACATAGACTAAAATGTCATTATCTAATAATGATTTAGAGCAAAAAAAGCAACAAGCATGTTTTGTAAAGCCCATAGTAGATCTATCCTAACCCATTAACAGAAGCTTAATAAATCACCTGTGATATTGCTAAATAATGAACACAAGATGGTGTATTGTGACCGACGGCATCTGCTCTTACGTTTGCTCTGATTGGCTGCCGGAACAGGAACAACAGCATAGACTACATGGAGCTGCGGCTGTGGATCGGTCTGCACTCGTGCCTGCAGTGCTTTCTGCTGGTGGTTTCTGACGCCAGCTACATCATCAAATACATAACCCGCTTCACAGAAGAGGGCTTCTCCAGCCTCATCTCCTTCATCTTCATCTCGGACGCCATTAAGAAGATGGTGGGTAACAAGACAGAAGGTTTGCAGACATCTTCATCATGGATACATAAATATGTTCTATTTCCCACAGGTCGGAGCCTTTAAGTACTACCCAATCAACCGCGGCTTCAAGGCAGATTATGTTACATCCTACAAGTGTGAATGCGTGGCCCCGGACCAGGGTGAGACTTCAAACTGTCCACAGTCTGTTCTTTTGACTAGAGCTCAACGGGAGGAATGTAAATCATGAGACAGTTTGGCTCAGGCGACACCATCTGAGTGCTGAACAAGCATAAAAAAAAAAGGCATCTACTTTTTCCCCCGCTTCTTTACATTTCTATCTGTTTACATAGTCACGAATGACAACGACCCAAAATTGCTGTCAGATTAGTTAGGAAGTGGCAACGTTTTGGAATAACCATCACAAAAACTCTGATTTCAGTCGCAAAGAAAATTACAGAGTAGAATGGAAAACGTGTGTAGGACAAAGTGCCTACAAAATGGACTGAAATCCCAGCAAACCTATCGAGAAATACCTAAAACAGCTGACCAGTCAAAAAGTGAAAAAGAAAAGAATTTCTAAATAAATAAAACAAATTATTAAATGTATGCAAAGTTCTGGATTCTAAACAAATTGGAAAGGTTTATTCTGAGAGGAGAAGGTTATACATAAATTCTGGAGTCAACTGAATATACCATGTTGAAAATGACAATTTGAGGGACGCTATGGAAGAGGATTAGAGCCACTGGCGGAACAGTTAAAGAATTTTGACTTTGGATTTCAAAAGATTAAAGTCAAAATGTTGAGATTAAAGTTAAATTCAAGACCCAAGTCGTCTGCAGACGTTTAATGTGGCTGAAATTAAATCTTAATTCCTTACTCAGAATCTATATGTTTTGTGTTGCCTTTTTTTCATTTTTGCCTCATTCTTGGATGCTGTGTGGAAATGTGAGTAAGAGCCACAACTTGTCAGACCGTGTAATGAGAACTGATGCAGCTCTCTAACAATCTGATAATGAAAAAAATACTCTTTGTCCTCTCCAGCATCTGTTCTGGGTTTCAACGTTTCAGCTCCCATGTCAGATGATAACATGACTCTGCTGGTAAGTGACCAACGGCACCAACGTTTCCCATCACTTGTGCTTTGCCATCTTATTTGTGAATACAAGGGTGGCTACCTTTTGTGCTGTTTTTTCTTTTGTTATCGCCGTTTTTTTTCTTCTTCTTCTCTGTCTTCTGTTCGTCCCCTGTCCCTCCTCCTCTGCCCTTCCCTTTGGTTTCCTCTGACGCCCTGATCCTCCCCACCCTATCTCCTTTTGCCCTGCTCTCCTTCTCGGCTCCTAGTTTAACCTGACAGACCTGGACTGGAGTCAGCTGAGTAAGAAAGAGTGTGTGAAGTATGGTGGAGTGTTGATGGGGAGCTCCTGTAAGTATGTCCCCGACCTGGCCCTGATGTCCCTCATCCTCTTCATCGGCACCTACTCCATGACCGTTTCTCTGAAAAAGTTCAAGTTCAGCCGCTACTTCCCAACAAAGGTAAGACGTTTGCTTCAGTGGGTTGGAGAAATTCCCAGGTTTTCCCTTTTTAATGCTCATGGAACGTCTTCAGCCCAACAAGATGTCCCTGCATGAGAAAAATGCTTCAATCCTGGAAACTCTGTAGTTGTTCAGTTTGAAGGAAAAAGCTGGTGATGTTTCTCATTTATTAACGGATATTCATGTGCAATGATCCTTCAAAACAGTCAGCAGCTTTTCCAGTGACATTATGAAGATAGCATTTCTTCACTTTCTGACTTTAAGTTATTTTTACGTTGCTTTAATTAGAAGTCTTTTTCTTACAGTAGCTGCTTTCCATTGACTATATAAGAGTGCAATTTGACATTTTGATAACAAGTTCACTTAATGGAAACACTGCAAAAAGAACTTGGGGAAAAAAAAAGAACTTTGACACTAAGATGAGGTAATTTTTTTTGGCCATATCAGAATTGGTTTATTTCATTAAACCAATAAACTGATGGAAACACTTTTTGTGCATCACATGAGTCACATGATGTTACTACTGGCACAAACCACAACGACAGGAAGTAGTAGGAGGATCACGTTTATTAATGCTTTATTACATGAACAAATGTATTCACATGTGATTTCAATTGTGTTTCTTAATTAATGGAAACACCATTAAGTAAGTAGTTATTTTATAAGTAAGTGGAATATTAAAGTTATTTCAGCCTTATACATGTAACATTTCCACTCAAAGGTTAACTTGTTTTTCCTTTGAATCATAAATATCACATGAAACATCAAAACTTTTTGAAAGCAATTTATCATCGTCTCATTCTTCACAGGTCTTACTTTTAACAGGAGTGTGCAACAATAAAAACGCCAAAATATGTACATTTAAAAAGTTCTGTTGCAAAATATCACCAGCTTAGAGAAACACATCACTATTTAGAGTTGATGCATTCCTTGTTGTCCATGAGTCTCACCCCTAGAAACCTAATGCAACACAATGTCTTCCTTATTCCCTTATGCATCTTCTCCCTGCATGCCCTCCAGCTCCGCTGCCTGATCAGTGATTTTGCCATCATCTTCGCCATCATGATTTTCTGTGGCGTGGACTATCTCCTGGAGCTGGACACCCCCAAACTGCACGTACCAACCCAGATTAAGGTCCGATCGTCCCCCAAGCAATTCGTCTTCCATTGTCCTTTATCTTTGTGAATGGCGGTTGCATCTCCTTCCCTAATAATGAATAATTTGAAGAATTATAATCAGTTGTTTTCATGTTAATTCATTATTATAGAAATTCTTGAACACGTTGTGTCACTTCTTATCTTCCTTTTCTTTGTCTGAATTCTCCCATTCCCATATTTTCTGGGCACATATCGCCCATCATCAATGTTACCCACCCGTCTTCTCGCCCCGGTCTGTGTGTTTGTGTGTCCTGTCCTCATCGTGCTGCTAGATGAGGAAGCTCATCAGTGACTTTGCCATCTTCATGTCAATCATGTCCTTTGTGGGTCTGGATATGTTGATGGGCTTAGACACACCCAAACTAATCGTTCCAACAGAGTTCAAGGTATTTCTTTCTCGCTAAATTAAAAGTTGAAATATGTGCGTGTTTGTAGCGTTCGGAAGGTGGGAGTTCCTATACTTGATACAATCAAGTATAGGAAACTCTGTCGTCATTTATGACGACAGAGTTTCCCACCAATTGACTCCTGTCAATTGGTGGGAAAGAAAAGCTGATGCACATATTTCCACCCTGCTTGCTGTTCATTACTTTTCTCTGTGTTTCAAACAGACATTTTGATAGATATGCTGCATCCAAATCCTTCTTTCAAATGGTTCGGAAAGTGAAATTAGGAACTCGAAATATGATGTAAAATAAATAATATAAAACATGACGTCACTCAGAGCACAAAACATAGAATTAAACTGAATAGATGTGTTGTTAACGAATCTGGCACATGAGCAAATGCCAGGAAGTTAAAGCTCGACATAAAAAGTTCTTCCAAAAGGATCATGAGACGAAGTATAACACCAAGTTATTGAAAAAGTAGCGGAAGGAAAACAAAGTTATTGTTTTATGGTGGCCGTTACAAATCCTGAATTCAGTCTCAAAGAAAATCAGTGAGCAGATCTGAGAAGGTATGTGTGAACAAGCTGCTTACAAAGCTGACCCAGTTATTACACAAGTTATATCAGGAGAAATGGGCCAAATTCCACCAAACTATTGCAAAAAGGTTTTGGAAGGACAGTCTACGTTAACCCCAGGCATCCATTCATCTCATTATTGTGACTTTTAACGAATAGACATGATTTTGGTATTCCTAACTGATTTAAAACAATGGACATTTGACCTAATTCAACTCCAGACAGTGAAAAACATAGAATAAAAAATTATGTATGTATCCTTTTATTTGAGAACAAATTTGAGCTTAGTACGATTTCATCTTACAGGGAGGGAAGAAAGGATTCTTTGTGTGTGTTTGCAAATGATCTTCCCATCTGTGGTCCATGCTTACCTTTCACTCTCGGATGGATTTGTTTGACGCAGCCCACGCGTTCGGACCGTGGTTGGTTCGTGCTTCCGTTCGGTCAGAACCCGTGGTGGTGGTACCTGGCCAGCTTTGTTCCGGCTCTCCTCGTCACCATCCTGATCTTCATGGACCAGCAGATCAGCGCCGTCATCGTCAACCGCAAGGAAAACAAGCTGAAGGTCTGAAATCCCCGACACTCCTGAAGCTCACAGAGGAGACGACATGTCAGTCATGACTGAGCGAGGCAAAAAAGATCTGTCATTTGTAAATACATTTATTTTTGTTTGATTAGGACGGTGCAACATTACCGCAGGTCACGGCAGTGTAAACATGCAGGAGTTAGCACAATGGATGTGTTTCATATTTTCTCCTTAGACAAGAGAGCACAAAAACAACAGAACAATTTCTGTTCTGTTGCAGGACAAAAAAAGCAAAAGAAAAGAAAACTAAAACAAAGCAAATATGCCAGACTGTATGCAACGAGGGTCTGGTATAATAGAAACATTTCTGAATGGTTACATAATAACTGGTTTGCTTCTAACTGATGCTTGAGCTTCTTTTTAAAATTTGCCCCTTCATCGTCTCTGGTGTGTGCTGCTGGTCTGTCCCATGAATGAATTTGCCACCCTGTGGCTAAACTATGCTCTGCGCCTCAGTATGTTGCTGTCTTCTTTAGTTTTGTTCTTGTTTTTATTTTATTCTCTTAATTACTGCTAATGTGCAAATTAGATTACAAGAAAATTGTTTCTATTTAGCATCTTTGGTTCTCATACCTGTCAGTTGCCAAACAATTCATTTTTGTTGTTTTGTTTAATATAATGAATAAAGTGAGTGCGACAAAGTGACAAAGTGCTTATGTGAACATAACTAATGGTTTAAAATTTAACTGTCAGTAAGACTACCAAAAGTTGACATTTACAGAGAACAGAAAGAGATCTGTGATTTTGGAGAATTAGAAAACTTCAAAATTATTTTGGATTGTAAGACAAATTCTAACACTTACAAATAAAAACATTTTGAAAAAACTGTGCACGCTCGCACCCTGTTTGAACTGCATGAAGTGTCAGTGAGATTGTAAATGTGAAAAAACAAACCCTTAATATTGAAAGGAGCTTAGCTTCCTGGTGTCAAACATAAGCTGGAGCTAAAATCCGATCCGACTGGTTCTGCAGCTGAATGTTTGTGGAAAGACGGGGAAAACAGCATGTGATGCTTTTTTTAATGGATTAGACTTGGATCATTATGTTTTGCGTGACTTTGCTCTGACACGACTCCTGGTGGCCGTGCAAATTAAGCGAATGGACATTGTTAGCAAAGCGTGCCTTTTTGTGGAATTAAAAGTTTGATATTCCAGAGATGTGAAACATGGTGAAACATTTCTCAGTTTTATGCTGCCTGGTAACAAGATTGTGAGGTAATTAATTTTGGATTCAGCATTCTTGGACCCAATATAAATACCTCCCCCAAAAACCTTCATTTTCTCAAGCTTATACTTATACTTATACTCTGTGTAGCAGATGTTATTCATTATGATTACATACATGGAATAATTGGAAAAAATAACTGCATTTTCATCAATCATATAACTGTGCAATTTGACATTTAAAATATAGATTTGTTCAATGGAAACACTTTTTTGTTTTCACATCACAGAGTCGCATGTTGAAAGAGTTTAAACCTGTCACTATGTCCCAACAGTACAATATGAGACAGTTCATCTGTGGAATCATTGAGCTCCTCTGTGGTCCCACTGCCACCTGTGGAAATGCATTACTGCGGGTCAGAAACAGCCAATCGGCGGCAGGAGGAGGGACTCAGAGCTGTCAATGACGCTCATAAACATGCTGCTGCTCACACTTTCCCTCGCATAGAGGCTCAAGATTGCTGGTTTTGATGCAGCTGTCCTCTCGGAGGATGAGCTGCAGCATCAACATGGCGGCAGTGAGCAGTTTGTGATTGACAGTGCTAAGACCCTCCCCCTGGCTCTGATTGGTTGTTTTTGACTGAGCACTGTACCACAGGCAGGAGACAGAGCAGCTTGATGTTTATGTAAAATGTTTTTGCAAAGTTACCTACATCAACTATCTGATTTCACATTATTTTTTCTGATTTTCACAGACTGTGTTCTGCGGTTGTAGCCTCACATAGCTCAAATGTGGATATAAAAAGTTTTTGTATTAATTATTTTTGTTGTCATTGTCAAAACAAAATAAAAGTGAGAACAGTGACAATTTATTTAATGTAGCAGCACCAGCCAGATGCGTTGAGCCCCATTAAAATGCAGAATATGCCTTTTTTTCTAACTAACTCCCTATATCGGCATGCGTCTGCAGAAAGGCTGTGGGTACCACCTGGACCTGTTCTGGGTGGGTGTGCTGATGGCTGTGTGTTCCTTCATGGGCTTACCCTGGTATGTTGCTGCCACCGTCATCTCCATCGCCCACATCGATTCTCTGAAGATGGAGAGCGAATGCAGCGCCCCTGGAGAGCAGCCGCAGTTCCTGGGAGTCAGGTAGAACCGTCCTGATGCTGCCACTGACAAAAACACCAAATCCCTGAGTTTTCATGGTGAAAATGACTGTTAATCTCTTTCTGAGATTGTATTTGTAATGTATACGTTTCTTCCCAAAACTCTGCAAATACAATGTCTCAAAAACTGAAGGAAAGCTGATTGTGCTTGATGGCATTACAAGAATGTCTGGTTATTTTGTAGGGAGCAAAGGCTGACAGGCATTCTGGTGTTTGTGCTGACTGGACTCTCAGTCTTCCTCGCTCCCGTCCTTCAGGTCAGTGGAAGGATTATGAAGAGTTACTTCCATCATTGCGTCACTTGTTTTTCTTTGACTCTTTCTCGCTATGCTGTCCTGTATAGTATATCCCAATGCCAGTCCTGTACGGAGTCTTCCTTTACATGGGAGTGGCATCACTGAGTGGTATTCAGGTATGTTAAATAGCCATGTTTTTTTTTATTTTATCCTATCATATAGCAACTTGTTATCCATCTTTGTGTTCCAGTTCTGGGAACGCATCAAGTTGTATCTGATGCCGCCCAAACACCAGCCGGACTTTTCCTTCCTCCGCCACGTCCCCCTGAGACGCGTCCATCTCTTCACACTTGTCCAGATCGTCTGTCTGGCTGTCCTCTGGATCCTCAAGTCCACCTTCCTGGCCATAATCTTCCCAGTCATGGTGGGTTGCATGTCTGTTTTGCTCTGCCGTTTTTGTCTGGTCGACAACTGTTCACTTCAGTTGACAAGTTAACTTCAGTCAGTTGAGTTGCATGGCTAGTATACGTTCCAAAATGGAAACAACTTGTCAATAACAGGAGAGTCAGATGCTAATTTCTTGTACACATTATTATAACCAGAGTCATCTATGAAAAGCAGCATTTTCATACAACTGATTGGCTGTATCCCCTAGAGTGGAGACTGTTCACATTAGCTTGTGGTTTAGTGCTGACACAGTTTCCAATTTGCACATTAATCACTATGCCCACTTTTCCACAATTCTGTGATTGTAAAAAATTAATGAAAATTTCATTTTCAGAAACAGAGTTTTAGTGACTGTTCGCTCTCACCTGCAGGGGGCGGTGTTTCTTACCTCTGCTGCACTGCTGCCTCAGGTTTACTTGGAGTCATATTTTAGTCTGATCAATGGCGAGTTACAAAATAAAAAAAATTAAAAAATCACATTTACTATTATACATAAGGGTTATTATTATTGCAAAATTCCTTTCAAATATCTTCAAAATATGATTTTAGTAGCAAAAAAAAAATCACAACAATCCTGAAATCTTTGCTGGACAGATTAATGCATATTCAGATATGGAGTATGAGCTGCTACAAAAGGCAGTTTTAAGTGATTTTAGAGGGAATCTCAAGCATTTGTGGACTTTAAATGTTTATGGGCAACAGTTGCCCTAAACCTCCACAAATAGCAGGGGTCCGCCACACCAGATCAAGAGTTGCAACTATTCTGCTTTTTAATATGCAAATGAGCCACAAAACCAAGTGACTGTGTTGTGCCAAACCTCAGAGTCGGATCAAGCTCAAGTCTTTTCTCAAGTCAAAGTAAAACACATTTTTGTGGCAACAGCAGATTTCATCTACTGCCCTCTATTATTTTATTCATTTGTCTTGCGTCGTGAGCAGATCCTGGGTCTGATGGTTGTACGAAAGCTACTGGACCTGATGTTTTCACAACATGACCTGGCCTGGCTGGACGACATCCTGCCGGACAAAGACAAGAAGAAGAAAGAGGATGACAAGAAGAAAAAGAAAGAGAAAAAGAGCGTTGAGCCGGAGAGCGACGAGGAGGTGAGAAAACGGAGCTGCTGTGGCAGCGTCTTCTCTGATAAACCCACTCTCACTCTAATGTCCAAAACTGTGAGTGTGTTTTTCTTGAAATTGAAATCACGTGCGTCACTCCATCTGCTGCGGGTGTGTTGCTTCTGGCTTTGTTTTTTTCTGACTAATACTGTATGTTTCTCCTCTCTTTCCCACAGTGTTGCTGAAAAGGCACTGTATAACACTTACTACAGTCTTCTCGTCTATCCATCCTAATCGTAGAGGATTTATTTCCTTTCACCCTTTCCTGCACCCTAGAAACAGTCCTATTGCTTCTTCAGGCCCATTTTGTCTTTGCTTTGACTTAGAAGAGGCTGATGGTACTCTGCATCTTGTTACTGTTAATGCAGCTCACAAACATTTGTTCAGGAATGAGATTAAAGGGATTACTGAAAAATCTAAAATCAAATTTAAAAAAATCCTAGTTTTGGACTTTCATAGCATCACTGGGACTAAAGTTTGTCCATAAAGCCTCCAGTTACAGATGAAGATAGAAAATGGCTTAGATACATTAAACATATTATCAATGCAAGAAAATAACTTTTGACAGGCAAAACCAAAATTTATCAGGTAATTGGTGCAACATTGTTGACAGAGGTCAAAGGTCAGACACAACATTAACATTCATTGGCAGGAACACCAACGTGGAGTACATCTTGCTTCTGTAAGAAGGAAGTCATTGACAGATTTTTCTTTTAACCTGGCCTCTATATTTCTTTTTTGGGGCAAAATTTGAGGAAAAAAAAAATCAATTATTGCCAAATCATCTCTGAGCTGAGCATCAATAACAAGTCAATCTGTTGCAACTAAGCTGAAACTTATTTGGAAAAGTATTGACCCTCATGGAGGATTTTCTCTTTTTTTTATTTTTTATTTTTTTTACTGCATTTATAAATCAATCATAATGACCAAAATCTGACTTTTCCGATGAAAACAAATTTCTACTAAACTAAAACAATTAAATAGAAATATATCACATGACCTAAGTGAGTGCATAGATATTCATGACTGACCTAACTGAACTGAGGTCTGTCCAAGTGGTTCTGATTTTCAGGATATTCTGTATTTGATGTTGGGTGTTTTGAGGCTATACTTCAATTTTCACAAACCAATCCTTTTTGGTTTTACATTTAACAAATAAAGGCATCATGCAATATGTGGTGTGTGTTTTTCTACGTATTGTTTGATTTAAATAGAACCTTATTTTAAAATGAAAATACTAGACCTCACAGAGGGTATATGCACTTTTTACTGTACATCTTTGTCCTGTTGATGCACAAAGGGTGTTATACCTGTCTATAAAGGAGTATAGGTCCGAGGTTGAAAAACTGTCTAATGCTTCTTAAAGACTTGAGTTCTTCCTGCATGCCAACTGCTTCCTGTTTCCCTCAGTTCATCAGTCTGTCTTCAGTGAAGATTCCGATGGAGGCCATAGGCCCCCAAACAGAGTCAGACCCCACCCAGGTTAACCCCTGCATTAAAAACCAAACCTCTGAGTGAGTAAACCAACCACTTCCTCTTCCTTAACAGAATCTGTTGCCTTGTCCGTTACAATTTAAGTGTTGTAAGTGTTAACTGTTGTATCTTTGTTGCTGTTTTTAGGTTGGACTGTTCATAGAGTGTTAACCGAGCTATGATATAACGGGATGTAACTATTATACTTCGTCAGTGTAGACAAAGTGTAACACTGATGTAACAGAAAATATTGCTCCCAAAACACAACAAGTCGTTGTGTTTTGGTTATAAATAAGAAATCATTGTCATGCCAATAGATCTAAAATATTTGTTACCTATTGGGAATCATTTTCTAACTCTGCCTTCATGTCTTTGTGTTGTGTTTTCATGTACATGCCTGTGTGCGCTTGCTTTATGTCGTTTTGTGCACGTTCTTTCTGCTGGTGTTATGTACATGTGGTTCGTTACAGGAGATGAATCCTTATTCAACAGTCACGTCGGATCAAAATGAACTAGACCGCAGGTACTGTGTGCTGAAACCACCCATCCAATTCAGAGAGCTGATGGATCCTCCGAGCTAGGGCAACACCTCCACAACACCACACACACACACACACACACACACACACACACACGCACACAGCTGAAACATAGACACACACACATTCTGCGCTGGGCCCCTTATGACCTTTGGCCAGCCGGCATGCATCAGTGCACCAGTTGCAGTTTTTAAAACAGGGAAAGTTTTGGAATGACTAAGAGACGTAAAGCACTAAGTCACTAACACCTGGTGGAAGTAAATCAAGTGTCTACAGATGGCATGAACCTTCAGTTTGACTAACTTAGCTAATGGTATTATACTGTATGTTTCATATGACTCACAAGCTGCTGTTCCATCATAAGTGTGCACAAAACTTTGTCAGTATTCCACCAATGTCAAAAAACTACATTTCACAATTGCAGCTTTTCCATTAAACAGAAAACACAATTAAAATCTCAGGTGAATAAGTTTGTTCACAAGATAAATCATTAAAAAACATGTTGAAATAAAAATAAAAAAAAACATGTTGCTCCATCATCCTCCAACTACTTCCGGTCATCTTTTTCTTCATGGTTTGCGCCAGTGAGACAAATATTATATGATGCCAAAAGAGTTTTTGTTGCAGTTTTCAAAACTGCCATGTGTCTATTAAGGAAGTTTATTTTCAAAATGTCAAATTGCACAAATGGACAATGGAAATGCAGCTAATGTTTGAAAACCTCTGCTTTGGACCAATTATTCTAAACCCACTTCCTCTGTAGTACATCCCAGCATTAAAACATTTTTATTTACGTCGAACAAGTGTACTGTATTAGCATTCCCATGGGGACTTACTCATGACTGGAACTTCCTCTGTTTGCATGAATATTGTTAAACGTTCTTTGCAGCACTGAGAAAAACTACAGAAGAGGATTAAGGCCACTGAAAGAAGAAAAGATTTCTGACTTTAATTTAAGCATTCTGACTTTTTCTTCGAACTCTGACTTTATTCGGCCATGTACAAAAGATCTCTTAAATCCATGGAAGGTACGGAACAGGAAGAGAAAAGAAAGCGGATTAGAGCAAGTGAAAAAGGAAAAGAATTCAGATTGAAACAAAAGTTAGAATTCGTTTGTAGTATTGTAGTGATCCTAAAACCATTTTAAACATATTCATAACATATTGCCTCTTCAGTTTCCAACATGTTCAGAAAAAAAAAAACATATGTTTTTATAAATTTAAAAAAGTAAAAAACAAAGAGGATTTGCTGCCAGACTGTTGACCTTCTTTGAGAATAGAAAGTGAATGATGAAGAGTAAAAATGTCCCCGCTGTTCCCCAGCATCACTCTGCACCTGAAGATCTCCTGCCCCCCGTCGCCCACCCCCTCCCAGACGAGCCTCACCTCCGGGGACAATCAGCCTCAGCGCCCGCCGCACCAACCCATGCCCCAGGTCAGCATCCGCGTGGATTCAGACTGTGACCGCGACGATTCTGGCTTCTTCTCCAAACAGCAGCGCTGCAGTCCGTATGCCGCCCCCAGCCTGCCACCGCCCGTAACGCCCAGGGGTTGTCGCCGGAAACAGCACGCTCACTTCAGAGACTCCTGCGCAGAAACCATTCTATGAACAAACAAAGCAAACTGCACCTTGTGATCTTCCTTTGTTTGTGAATTTAAACACGTCATGTATAACTCAGCCGAACGTGACAACAAAAATACGTCCAACACTTTTCTGTCCAACTGAATGAACCCGTTGATCCTGAGGTGAACTAAAAACATAAATGCATGAAGTCTCCCACCCCGAGAACGCTGATTGTTTTTGAGGAGTAAGCAAAATGTGAATTATGCCGAGTTAATGTAAAGAATGGAGCACATCCCAACAATTGTAATAAAATGCTATTAAATTCTATTTGTTCAAATGCAAATTTGATCAGGGAGGTTCTATACCTAATCCGACCTCGAATTTATACTCACATAATACTGTATAAAATCACATTGTCACTCACTAGGCTCTGTTTAATAACTTAATCACCATGCACCTGAGGTTTAGTTTCAAATGAATCTGGTGACATCTTGAAACATGATTATGCCATTATGAGAAACTGCTACACATCAGAAATCAAAGCTGAATTTTTAACTATTTAAATGAGATCAAATATAATAAATGTAGAACAGAAACAGCTAATTTAGTGTAATTCCTGAACCACATGACTAGGCATTAGGTGTGATTCAAATTTATTTCACATACAACTGACATGATTGAGGACCATAATATTTTAAAGGGGCAGTATTATATAAAATCAGCTTTTTGAGCTTTAGATCATGTTATTTCCTCACAAACATACCTGCTGTGTTGCCTTGATTCCTTCATGCATGTTGGAGAAATCATTTAATCTCTATGGAAACCAAATGCAAAATGCTAGTGTGAACCTAGCTCCACCTTTGAGGACGAAGCTTCTCCCAAGAGCAGCTCCTTCAGACTAGTCAGCAGCAATTAGCAAGCACCTGGTGGAACCGCACATCACCTGAGCTCATTATATGATCTACTTCTCAGAAAAACACTGGTATGAATGTTAAAGGGCAAACAGCAACGTGACGACTTTCTGAAGGCAGAGTGTGGGAAGAGGACCTTCTTGAAGACACAGGGGCCCAGTTTCAAGACGTTAAGTTACAAAATTAAATGTAACTTAGCGCCCCCCAGCCCCATCATGTGGACCACATTACCAAAAAGGCTCGTCATCACCTTCACCTGCTGAGAACCCAATGTTTTACACATCATCCATTTTATAGTCCCCCCTGTTGCAGTTTTATTATAATGAAAGCAAAACTACCCAGAATCAACCAGGCCAGTAAAATCATTGGTTTTATTTAAAGCTCAAACACCAGGAACGCAACTCAGATCAGTCATATTCACCATTTTTCAGCTTCTTTCCTCGAGGATGCATCTCATTCCTGTCCAGTAAAAATCAAAATTTGTTTCCTCTGCAATAATCACTCAAAGTCTGCAAAGTTTACGTTTTAGTACTAAAGAGTTAAGTTTTATGTGAACAGATTTTTCAATGAAGTCCGGTTAGAATGTCATGTCCAGAAGAAAGGTAAATTACAGCAGATTGAACAAGCTCCCTTATTAAAAACACTGGATGCTTTTCAGAGAGCGATGCCAGCTTTAGTTTTTATTTTATTCATGACCTCAAGTATCTAGAAGTATAACCACCTTCTATAAACAGTTGCTGACTCAGCACTTTATGTTGGGTAAACATTCAAAACCTTTTAGTTCTGGACTAAAGTCAAAACGTTTACACCCAGATTTTGTTGATTTAAAATGGACTTTTAACAATGTCGTCTTTGACCATGATAGTTTCAGAAAACATGGATAGGTTCAAGGTGAGATCTACAGAATGGGATGAGACTAGTCCCCATCATGCTCCTGTGTCAGTCGAGCCTCTCCCAGTCAGACATGCTGAGGTCAATATAAAGGTCATTATTGAATTGCAATAGCAAAGTTAAACCCTGATTTAATTTGCTTCAGTTAAAAGTTCACTAACAGAGCAGGTTTTGGTTTTAAGTTTGACTAATGTTCAGTTGCACTTTGAAAGACTCCAGCTAAGCAAGTCTGTATAGTTGAGACACGTTTGGACTTTTAAAAGTCCAAATGACCTGCTCCAAAACATAATACAGTTTTTATGTCATTGTGAATATCTGGTCAATGAACCTCATTTTCCAAATTAAGTCATTCAAGTCAGGAATGTTTCAACTTTATTGATATGTTAAATGACAACTATATGAACAGGGATCAAATCCTGCTGAATAAGAAAACAGCCCACTCCTATGAGCAGGTTCTGACCGATATCACTGATGCCATCAAGCTCGACTCTGGGGTGGTGAAGAAAATCTACACATTGGAGGGCAAACTGGTTGCATGTCTACAGGACTTCTTTGGTGAGGAGAATATTTTTGTGGCCTGTGGACCAGAGAAGTTTCGCTACCATGATGACTTGATGTTGGATGAGAGTGAATGCCGCATGATGAAGTCAGTGACCTATGGCAAGATGTCAGGTTCTCTCAACCGATGCTCTCCCAGGACTGTCATCCAATCACATCGCAGCAAGTCCCCAGCTTCTGAACATTGCCTGACTGTTACAGGCGAGAAGCAGAGAGCGGAGTGACAGCAGAAAAACAACTGATGGATCTGTAAATCCAATCAGGTGTTAACCTGAAGAATTTCACTGGAAATGTGTTTGTTTTGTGGATGAAATGAAACTATTTGTAATGGACTCCTTCTGGATGTTGTAGTCCGACAGGGTGCGGCCATCTTCCAGCTGTTTGCCAGCAAAGATCAGCCTCTGCTGGTCAGGTGGAATGCCTTCTTTATCCTGAATCTTTGCCTTCACATTCTCAATGGTATCACTGGGCTCCACCTCCAGGGTGATGGTCTTTCCGGTGAGGGTTTTCACAAAAATCTGCATCTTCACACTAGAGGATAGTAGTCATTTGAAAAGTTAAATGCTGTAGAGGCCAGCACAATCAATTTGACCATTTCAGTCAAGAAACAGAGTTTGATAACTATACTGCTTTTCGTCTTTCATGAATGGTAAATTTACTAAAAGTCACATTTTGATACGTCACAGAAAAGGAGCTTGAAATCAGCCGCAACAGAATCTCACCGCGGCGCTGACAGCAGTGACTCATGCTAACTAGACCCATGCTAACTAGACCCATGCTAACTAGACCCATGCTAACTAGACCCATGCTAACTAGACTCATGCTAACGACATTTAACCTCCTGGTCTCTTTGCTCTTCACAACCAGTTAGCCAGTTGTCCGACATAAATTCACTTCTTTTAACTCAAGAGTCGACACTAAGTTAACGTCTTGCGGATAAACCTGAGAAAAATAAAGGCGGAAGTGGATATAAATTTGCAGTTTGGTGACGTCAAGCCAATTTGCGTTAGCAACTTCACTTAACAACGCGAACGTATATTAACTACAATTTTAAAACACTCATTTAAAACAGACGGATACGGACAAACGACCAGGTTCGTACGAGCTACTAATTGAAGCGGAACTTGTCTCACCTGTCAACTTGGTTCAACTGTGGCAGAAAGTGGCTGGAAATGATCGCGGAAACCCGCCGCACAGGCAGTATTTATACCCAACAACCCATATCCTTCCGCCGCTCCATCAAGAGGTACTATATAAAAAAAGTCATGTACAGTCATGGCCAAAGGTTTTGAGAATGATTCAAATGTTAATATTTACAAAGTCTACTGCTTCAGTTTTTATAATGGCAATTTGCATACACTCCAGAATGTTATAAAGAGTGATCAGCGTAACAGTAATTAATTGCAGAGTCAATATTTGCCTAGAAAATGAACTTTATCCCCCAAAACACATTTCAACTTCTTCTACTTGTTTAATGGCGGTTGGCAAACAACTTTTAGGTGCATTACCGCCACCTTCTGGACTGGAGTATGGACCAGATGTATAATCTCTATAACCTCTCCATAATACCTGTGCTTCTAAGAAATCTAAACACGTAGTTAAAAACTACGTCCCCGGACAATTTCTGTAATAAGTCCCTAATATCTAATTTGACTTTATTCTTACTTAACTCTCTAACTAATATCCCTCTTTCCTGATTATATTTAGTACATTCCAAAAAAATATGTTGAATCATTTCTAAATTCCCACAAAAACTACACAACCCTGTACTGTGCTTGTTGATTATTTTCAAGGTGCTATTTAACCCCGTATGTCCAAATCTTAATCTGGATATGATATCCTCCTCTTTTTTACTCCTATTCTCTTTTCTACATTCCCCAACTTTTTTTGAATACTATAATAAAATCTTGCCTTCCTTTCACTCTCCCACTGTTCCTGCCATTTTTTCTTGTTGTACACTTTACTTATATTTCTGACCTCACTTTTGCTAACTTAGTTTTAAGTTCAACATCATCCCTTTTAGTCGCACTCTTAGCAAATTTATCCGCCAACTCATTTCCTATTATACCGATATGAGCAGGAATCCAAATAAATTTGATATTGGATCCGTTTTTTTAAATTTTATACATTGACTTATTAATGTCCATCAATATGTCCGTCCTGTCTTGCATCTGATGCTTGCTCCATGATGCTTATCAGTGCACTACTTGAGTCCAAGCAATTAAAAACTTTCTTTCTTCTCAATTCCTCACTCCACTTTAATGCCATTAAAATAGCCATTAACTCATCCGTACATACATTCAGTCTATCCGTTATTCTTTTATTTTCCATAATGTTTAAATCGGGAATTATAAATGCTACTCCTATTCTATCACTTAACATTTTAGACGCATCTGTGTATATTTGTAAGTGTTCACCATATTCCCTCCTTATATA